GTCCCCACCTTAGCCATGAAAGCTGGCTGAGTGACTTTGGGCAAGTCCCCCTCCCTCCCTCCCATCCCATCCCACCTCACAGGGTTATGATTGTGGGGAAAATAGAAGGAGGGAGGTGTGTTGGACATGTTCACCACCTTGAATTATCGGTAAAAAAAATAATAAAAGGCGGGATACAAATGAATAAAGAGATAAAATGACAAGCTCTTCAAATTTCTGTTTCGTTTCTCTTCTAAGTGCCCTGATTCTATCCCAAGCCGTGCTGGTTGCGTTTTGTCTGGCTGTTGTTTTGAGCTCCCAAATGGCAGGTCTGCTGGCTTAGTACATACAGGGTGAATCAAATAGATCGAGCTTCTAATCTTGGTTCATTGGGCAGCAAGCTTCTTCCGGAGAGATCATGAGATAGGCGAGGGGATTTTTAAGAGAACTGATGCGAAAGTTAATGGCTTATGAAAAAGTACACACCAGAGAGAATATTAATGAGCTGTTACCAGGAGCGGCGCAAAAGCCAAGAGCATGTTATATCTAAAATAAACACGATTGGGAAGATGTGGACTCTTTTTTTTTCTCTCGCCAGGGTTCCAGATGGTGGGGTTGTTCTTTTTTTTTTTAAATGCGGTCTTATTTGATTTCAATGGATTTTATTCTCAGCTAGCTACTTCTAGGACTGCGATGAGGTCCCAAGGTTTTTTTTCTTTCCAATATTTCACTGGGGAGTTAAACTCCCAACTGTATTTTTAAAAACAGAGCGCTAACAACTTTGCGAGTAACAAAATGTAGGGTTTGTGTCGGAGGGGTGGCCAAAATTTTTCTGAGGATAATTTATTTATTTATTTATTTATTGAATTTATATACCGCCCTATCTCCCTTACGGGACTCAGGGCGGTGAACAGGCAATAATAAAAACCACGATAAATATACACAAATTTCTGTTCTAAAATCAAATTAAATAACAGGCCTGCTCTAAAAATACCCCATACAAAACCCCACTAAAACATAATCAAACTACGCCAGGCCGGCCCTAGGCTTCAGCATTTCCCAAGGCATCCACCACAGCCTGCATTCATTGAGAGCAGGGGTCTTCAAACTGGGCCCTTTTATGACTTGTGGACTTCAACTCCCAGAATTCCTCAGATCCCTGGCTGAGAGATTCCAGAAGGGTCCTCTGTGCATGCTCAGAAGCTGTTTGCTCTTATCCGAGGCTCAGTGGTGGCATTAAAAAGTCCCAGAATTCAATAGGAATTATTTTAAAACGTGGCATCTGCTTTAAGATCATATGAGAGTAAAAAAAAAAAGGGGGTCTTTTGACCAAACAGTGGATTTAGCATGAATCATTTATTTGTGTTTCCAAAACGTGAAAGTCTGCAATGCCAAAAGAAACGCTGAATAAAAATCCTGGTGATATGTACATATATATTTTAATGAGCAAGATGTTTGATCAACAGAAACTACAATAGGCTGAAAAGCAGCCAAGCGCTATAGGTAAACATTATTTAGATTATGTCATTAAAGAGAGCTGATTCACATCTATCCATATGGGTACAAGGTGTTGACTAGGCCTCGTCTTACGAAACTGGAGATGACCTGAATTTCTTAGCTAATAGAAATTCTTACTAGCTCCTATTATCAGCCTGCTCCAGGTTCCCACCAGTTTTATCTCAACCCTGTTGACACCTCTGTTTCTGTTCTTTAAATGTGTATTTTATCAGATTTTTCCCAGGGGAAAGGGAAACCGCTTAAATTTCTTCCAGCATTCCTTCCACCTTCACTTAGAAAAATATGGAAATGTTTCTAGTCCTCGTGAAACATGCATTTCTGGGAAATGTCGAATGAAATTGCTGGTGCCAAATTGCACGCAAGCAGGTGATGAGTGAGTAAGGAAGGAAGGTATGTGTCTTCTTCTCTGTCACAGATCGCAGTCTCTACATTGAAAAAAAAAAATACTGTGAAGGGTTAATAATGTTGGCTTAGTGAATTAAGCCATTAATCATTTGGAACAGGAGAGACATTTCCCAACTGAAGTATGTAGCAGAGACGATGCCTCCAGATAACTGAATCTAATCCCTGCTGAGAAGCACTGATGATGTTACCTAGTTTGGTAATGAAACGTCTGCAAGGAAACCAGTAAGCTCAGAGAGCACCAAGGACCCCACAGAAAAACACTTACCACTTTCATAAGAAATTGCAAGAAATGTACTCTTCATAGTTTTGATTGCCAGCTGCTTGTGCTATTCATTCTCTGGAGCAGTTTTTTCCCCCACAATGTAGCATTTTTGTCAAAAGAAAAAAAAAAGGAAAAAAGAAGTTACTTTAACCAAATAAACCATCATTTTTGGAAAAAACTAAAGGGAAAAGCAAAGACTACAGAAAGGAGCAGAGCTTAAAGACATTTTTGCCCAAGCTGATACCTGCGCAGGAAGTGTCTTGCAACACAAGAAACTGGCAAAAAGTCAGAGCTGTTTGTCGCACCGTTTTTGTTTTCGGTTGGCAATTACAATCCTCCTGAGCAACCGAGGGCCAAGCATGTCCAAATATCCTTGGCTGACAACTGAAATGGATTATTCCTCTCCTGTTTCATTCGCTCCTAGTCGTTGAGAAATTGGACATGTGAATATCACGAGATGAGGACAATGAGAACGAGAGAAGAGGCAGCTGTGTTAACTTAATGCTATTGTTTAATTTTAACTCCTGATTAAGGCCGTTTATTTTACACCCACGTTCTGCCACCTCTTGATGAGAGGGGCTTGACATAAATCTAATAAGATCCCAGAATAACCAAGTTGGAAGGGACCTTGGAGGTTATCTAGTCCAACCCCCTTGCTCAAGCAGGCGACCCAATACCATTTCGGACAAATGGCTGTCCAGTCTCTTCTTAAAAACCTCCAGTGGTGGAGCACCCACAACTTCTGGAGGCAAGCCGTTCCACTGGTTAATTGTCCTCGCTGTCAGGAAGTTTCTCCTTAGTTCTTGGTTGCTTCTCTCCTTGGTTAGTTTCTTCTCGTCCCGCCTTCTGGTGGAGAATAGCTTGACCCCTTTGCAGTTTCCTTCTTCTGCAAAATAGCCAGGAATGTGCACCTGATGTGGATGAAGGCAGGCCCAGTGTCGGAAGAAGAGAGAAAAGAAACGTAGCGTTATTCAGCTTGAAACACGTTAGACGATCAAATGGACCCTTTAGGGGGAAAAAAATGAGAGGCCCGCCTTTTCTGAGATGTTTCAAATATTTTTGACTTTCTACTGCTCTGGGGTTTTTTTTTTTTTTCTCCAGAACTGTCCCTGAGGCCCTCTGTGATGGTGGAGGGAAATGATCTTTATCGGCGAGCTCTTGAATGGAAACGGAATTTAAGCAATTTTGCAAGATCAGGGGCACCTGTCATCTACTGGATCCCCTGCATGGATGCCCCTGTGACTATGTAGGGCAGGTGGGGAGGGCAGCTAACCACCAGGTTGCAAGAACACACAAGCCAGCGGTTAGAAGGACCCTATTATAGGTAGCCCTCAACCGCCACAATTGGGCCCCAAATTTCTGTTGCCATGGGTTGCCCCTCCCAACCTGGAGAATCCTACCTGGAAAAAAAAAAAGAAGATTAGGAGTCTTCTGTGCTTGGAGATCTGTAGAAGAGGATAGCACAAAATTGCCATGTGGCCTCCATGCTTCCCTGCTCAAAACCAAAGGAAGGTCTCAAATCGTTGTGAGAGCTTTTTCAGAGTGGAGGGGGAACCATCGTCCTCAATTACCCTGCAGAGAGGGAGGGAAGCTGAAAGACACTACAAGAGAAAGATGAAAAAAAACGTTCTGGAGCATCTCAAGAAGAGGCAAGGAAAACAGAAACCTCTTTTAGAGGGGAGGAGAATGTTGGAGACTGCCGGAGGGATTTCGACACAACTTTTGTTTGCTCAGTGTGACCTAGCAACAATTTATCGGCTTTTACGTAACACATACAACCTTTTTTAGCCCAGCTGTGGTAGATGCCAGTCATGGTGACCTAAGAACTTATTCAAATCTGAAAATATCTAAAGGACATCTACGTATATGAGCAAAGGAGTTGGCTGGGCTGGTTATGACCAAGAAAGTCTGCAAATATTTGCATTTTTTTTTTTAAAAAGCACATTTTGCTTATTAATTGTAATAACAGCCTGCCGGAGCTATTTGTATGCAGAAGCCATGTCACTGATGGTAGAGGCTGTTCCAGCTATATAATTAGGATCTTTTATAGCCTCATCCAAAGTCTGCAATTATTCCCTGGAGCTAATCTCATTGGTCCAGTCTCTGGGATGAAATGTCCGAGCAGACCAGCCAGCAAAGTTAAACAATCATTAGTTGCTTTTGGTATGATGGACATCTGTCTGCAAAAGGCCTGGAACAATTTGAAGAAAGGAACTCTTGTCAAAGCCAACGCACGAGGCTGTTGCTGCCAGAGTACGCGGTTGGTTCCCACATGACTCTGCATCCTGACGAAAAGCAGCCAACGTGGTTTCCAAACCCATGATCTATGGCAGTGTGTTTCTCAGCTTTGTCAACTTTAAGATGGGCGGACTACAACTCTCAGAACGGTGGCTGAGGAATTCTGGGAGTTGAAGTCCATCCGCCTTAAAGCTGACAAAGTTGAGAAATATTGCTTTAGGAAGCCAACTAGGACTGTATGATCTGTAATTCAGATCGCCAATATTATACACACACACACATACACAAAAGCAAGATCTTCTATGGCGTTTCTCCTCCTTCCAGCCCATTCTCAACCCCAAAGATAACAAATTCAAGCGTGCTAAGGTGGCCAATTTTATTTACCGACAAGATCAAGAAACAGAAATGAATGAACGGAAAAGCAATTTTTCCAATCCAGCTGGAAGCCTTCTCTGCATGTTTGGGGGAAAAAAAAGGGAGCAACAGATACCGTTCGGCCTCAAAGCGTTCTAGAGGTATAAAACCGGAATTCTATTTGGGGTTAAAACCTCCCATGTGGATCCAGATGGCTTTTTTCATAATGGCCTCAGACGCACAGGTGGACCTTCCGCCCGGGAAGATTTTCAACTTGGAGTTTCTTTGGTCACGATCCGGCCCATGAAATAGACGCCGTAAACTTCCTTGACGTCACCTTTCACAATCAGTGTGGCCGATCCGGTTATGGGTTGATTGGGCTGTGGGACAACACAAAGGAGGGCCTGAATTGGGGGGGGGGCTTCTGAAGGTTAAATCCCCTGGACTCTTTAAAACAGTGCGCTGTCAACCGTGACAAGTTTAAGATAGGTGGACGTCAACTCCCAGAATCCCCTAATGTGGGAATTGAAATCCACCCACCCGTCTGAAGCTTGCCAAGGTTGAGAATGGGATGCCAAGACTTTAAAGTATGTAAAGCAGCATTCCAGTATTTGAGAGAGGCTGCCACAAAAAGGAGAGGGTCACTTATTTTCCAAAACATCTGAAGGCAGGACAAGAAGCAACGGGTGGAAACTCATCAAGGAGAGAAGCAACCTGAAATTAAGGAGAAACTTCCTAACAGGGAGGACAATTAACCAGTGGAACCGCTTGCCACCAGAAGTTGTGGCTTCTCCATCACTGGAGGTTTTGAAGAAGAGACTGGACACCCACTCGTCTGAAATGGTCCTGCTTCAGCAAGGGGGTGGACTAGATAGAAGACTCCCAAGTCCTTCCCAGCTCTATTCTGATTGAAGGGAAGGAGAATGCCAGCGATTAACCTCACTCAAACCGACTTTGAAGTGTGTCAACCTACATCTGAGCCAGCAGGGGGCACCCAGGAAACAATGATGGATTTTGTCTGCCCACGTTCCACCATGCCTTTGACGGGGTCCAGGCTGAATCCTTTCAGCTGCAAAAGTTGCAGACTTTCCCAGGTGAATTCAACATTCTGGAAAAAGAAAAGGAAAAAAAAGAAAAGGGGGAAACCTCAATCAACCAATCCCTGAAATAGGGTCACAAGTCACTTTTGCCTTTATCACTGCGGTCGCTGAACAAACTGTTACAAGTCGAGGACTGGATGTAACGCCATACGTAATAAAGGATCCTCCATCTGAAACGGGAAAATAAAAGATCCTTAATCTGAAACGGGAAAATTAAGATTCTTTTTTCCCCCCCAGGATGTCTTCATCCCGGGATGCTGCAACTGTTGTAAATACAGGCCGGTTTCCAACAGGCTGAATTTTGATCGCCTGACTGTGGGGATGTTGCGACGGTTGTAAGTGTGAGGACTGATCCTAAGTCCCCCCCCCCCTTTTAAAAACCCTGTTGTAAGTTCAAATGCTCATTAAACAAACGGTTGCATGTTGAGGACTGCCTGGATTGCATCCCAAACCTTTAAGGCGGAAGACGGCAAAGGATTTTCTCCCCCATCCTCTTCTATTTTTGATCACGTCCCCTCCTGAACCCCACAATTAGCTTTGATAAATGCTCGCCCCCGCCCCCCAAGACTGCCGCACCTTCTTTGATGCAAACTGAGCGGTCCGAATGGCTCCGACTTTCAACTCCCGCACTGCTGGGATAACCATAGTCTCTGACTGTACACACTTCAGGCTGACGAGGATGGAGTTGGTAGCTTTCTCAGCTTCTGCAGAGAGGCAATTTTAGTCCATCAGTGATGGGAGGAGGAGGAGGAGGAGGAGGAGGAGGAGGNACCCCCCACCGACCTGTACGCTCTCACAGAGTGGGTCTCCTCAGGGTACCGTCGGCCAGACAGTGCCGGCTGGCGACCCCAAGGGGGAGGGCCTTCTCTGTGGGAGCTCCCACCCTCTGGAACGAACTGCCCCCAGAGATCAGGGTGATTCCTGATCTCCCTTCCTTCCGCCGCGCCCTCAAGACGTGGTTGTTCCAGCTAGCGGGACTGGCCTAGGGGATTTTATAGGGGTTTTAATTACTTTTAAATTGGACATTCTCAAATATTTCGTTTTAATTAAATTTTAACTAGGTGTAATATGTTAGCTTTTTATCATTTGTCAGCCGCCCTGAGTCCGAAAGGAGAAGGGCGGGATATAAATGCAATTAATAATAATAATAATAAAAAAAAGCAGCATTCCAGTATTTGAGAGAGGCTGCCACAAAAAGGAGAGGGTCAACTTATTTTCCAAAACACCTGAAGGCAGGACAAGAAGCAACGAGTGGAAACTAATCAAGGAGAGAAGCAACCTGAAATTAAGGAGAAACTTCCTAACAGGGAGGACAATTAGCCAGTGGAACCGCTTGCCACCAGAAGTTGTGGGTTCTCCATCACTGGAGGTTTTGAAGAAGAGACTGGACATCCACTCGTCTGAAATGGTCCTGCTTCAGCAAGGGGGTGGACTAGATAGAAGACCCCCGTGGTTCTTCCCAGCTCTATTCTGATTGAAGGGAAGGAGAATGCCAGCGATTAATCTCACTCAAACCGACTTTGAAGTGTGTCAACCTACATCTGAGCCAGCAGGGGGCACCCAGGAAACAATGATGGATTTTGTCTGCCCACGTTCCACCATGCCTTTGACGGGATCCAAGCTGAATCCTTTCAGCTGCAAAAGTTGCAGACTTTCCCAGGTGAATTCAACATTCTGGAAAAAGAAAAGAAAAAAAATAGGTGAAAACCAATCCCTGAAATAGGGTCACAAGTCACTTTTGCCTTTATCACTGCGGTCGCTGAACAAACTGTTACAAGTCGAGGACTGGATGTAACGCCATACGTAATAAAGGATCCTCCATCTGAAACGGGAAAATAAAAGATCCTTAATCTGAAACGGGAAAATTAAGATTCTTTTTCCCCCCCCAGGATGTCTTCATCCCAGGATGCTGCAACTGTTGTAAATACAGGCCGGTTTCCAACAGGCTGAATTTTGATCGCCTGACTGTGGGGATGTTGCGACGGTTGTAAGTGTGAGGACTGATCCTAAGTCCCTCCCCTTTTAAAAACCCTGTTGTAAGTTCAAATGCTCATTAAACAAACGGTTGCATGTTGAGGACTGCCTGGATTCCATCCCAACCTTTAAGGCGGAAGACGGCAAAGGATTTTCTCCCCCATCCTCTTCTATTTTTGATCACGTCCCCTCCTGAACCCCACAATTAGCTTTGATAAACGCTCGCCCCTGCCCCCCAAGACTGTCCGCACCTTCTTTGATGCAAACTGAGCGGTCCGAATGGCTCCGACTTTCAACTCCCGCACTGCTGGGATAACCATAGTCTCTGACTGTACACACTTCAGGCTGACGAGGATGGAGTTGGTAGCTTTCTCAGCTTCTGCAGAGAGGCAATTTTAGTCCATCAGTGATGGGAGGAGGAGGAGGAGGAGGAGGAGGAGGAGGAGGAGGAGGAGGAACAGGTCAGATTAAAAAAAAAACCAGGTAGCTCGGAAAAGATCTCTTAGGTATCCTCAGTATTCCTTCCCATCCACTGCCTGCCGGACCCGAACTTTCCCCCCTGCAGTTTCCAAGCCAAACATAAACTGAGTTTAGCCCTCTTTAGGCTGCATCACCTGCTTTGGAGGCCTCTTCGCTGATGGAGGTTAGCACAGCCAGCGATTCAAAGGGGACGTCCAAGGGCTCGCCACCTTCCACGTACATGATGTGGTTCCTCGCTGCCCCCTTCAGCTGGATCACCCGGATAATCTCCTGCAAACAGCTTGAGGTTTCTAAAAAGGCCTCTCCATCACCTTCCTATAGTATCCCAATCAGCTTCCCAAGCTGGAGGAATCTTTGAAGGAAAAGAAGGCTTAGATCCTACTCCTTTTAAAATAACATTTTTTTCAATCTTGGGGAACTGTAAGATGCGTGGACTGCAACTCCCAGAATTCCTCAGCCAGGGATTCTGAACGATGAAGTTCACACATTTTAAAGTTCCCAAGGTTGAGAACAGTTGTAGAGGGTCAGAAATCCCTGAAAACACACCTATATATCTCATTCCTCAGCCCCTGGGTCACTTGGAGGTCATCTAAGGAGAGAGTCTGAGCACTTTCATCCAACCTAACTAGAACACACCAGGCTAGGAAAAAGCCAATCTCATCACTCTGAAATTGGAAAGTCTGTGGAATCTAAGGAGAATATTTTCCTCTGCCCACGTCATCAGCTTTCCTTTTATGTCACACCGTCTTCATTACCTTTCTGAACGCAGGAACGCTCTCTGATTAAGTCCACTCCCCGGGGGAGGGGGATAATGCAGCCGATCCTAAACTGAGCTCACCTTATCAAAAAGCAAGATTTGGATGCGGTCGGAGTAATACAAGCTTTCGTGGTCAGGGCTAAAGGTGACGGTGAACTCTTGAGACTTTCCCACCCCGATGAAGCCCTGCATTGGGAAGATGCTGAAGACACTGAGGCCGCTGTAATTTTGTGTACCTGGGAAAGGGATTGGTTAAAAAAAAAAGGGTCAGCGGGAAAGAGACTGTGTCCTTCCCACAGCAGTGCTGAAAATACAAGAACAGGAAAACCAGGATATTAACCCGTTGAGCCCAAGGAAAAACACTTAGGACTCAAGCAGTCAGGAAACTAAACCCATCCCTCTTAAATATCCATTATTTAATAATAATAATAATAATAATAATAATAATAATAATAATAATAATAATAATAATAATAATAATAATAATAATAGTAGTAGTAGTAGTAGTAGTAGTAGTAGTAGTAGTAGTAGTAGTAGTAGTAGTAGTAAAGTTGGAAGGGACCTTGAAGGTCATCTAGTCCAACCCCCTGCTCAGGCAGGAAACCCTTATTTATTTGCACTGTTCGTTATTTCAGATGGATGTATTGGATGTATGGATGTATAGACAGACAGACAGACAGACAGACAGACAGACAGACAGACAGACAGACAGGAAGATAGATAGGTAGACAGACAGACAGACAGGAAGATAGATAGGTAGACAGACAGACAGACAGGCAGGCAGGCAGGCAGGCAGACAGACAAGATAGATAGACAGACAGACAGACAGACAGACAGACAGACAGACAGACAGATATTATTGCCATCTTTTTTTCCATGAAATTTCTCCTGCCACCCCAAAAGAGCTGTAATAAAAATAATCTACCATGATACTCCATGTAACTGGAACATGTATCCCTCTGGAGAATTTGTTGAAATATGAGCCGTAACCATGCCACGACATAACCCACATCTAGCACAAAATGGGGCCAGTCTCTTACCAACTACATGCGTTTCTCTTGGAATGTTAAGGAACGGCGGAAACGTCTGCAGCTCTCGATATCTGTCCGGAGAAAGAGAATCCAGGACGATAGAATATTTCAAGGCCAAAGGAGAAATGTTCTCGATCTGTAAAAGAATCCATAAAATTACCGCAAATTTTCAGCTATTTTTTTTTTCTAGGTAAAGAGTGCAGATGCTGTTGGCCTTTGGTAAAAACATGGAATAATGATGATGATGATGATGATGATGTAACAATTGTATTGGGAAGGGAAACTACCTGAAAATCCCAAGGGCAGATTTGAGAAGCTAATAAAAAAAATATCCTGGATAACAGCAGTGACAAATTTCTTCCTGGTGTTGCTAAGAAAATAACACAGGTGTCTCCACAAAAATAGCAGTTGAGCAGGCGCCCCAGAATCACAACACTGAAAATGGTGTTTTGAAAGCACTGGGTAGCTTCAGATGTCATACATATTTGCCAGCTGCACCACAAGAATTCTGCAAAATGAATCACGATTGTCCTTCCGAGAAGACTCGACTCAGTGGAAGAAGGATGACTGGGTTTTCCCGCCTGACACTTCGCCTTAATAGGTTGTGTAAAGTTTGGCGTTGTTCAATCACCATTTGTGGCTCAGCATCTTAATAAGGGGTATATTCATGGCTTAAAAAACAACAGGGTGAACCCCAAGAGTCACTGATTTTACAGGTAAATCCTCGTCTTACGGCCACAACTGAGCCCAAAGTTTTTGCTGTAAATCAAGGGCGACCTGCATTCAGAGACACTAGCTAATCTGATGAGAAAAATGGAATTTTTCTGTTCAGTTTCTTAGCCGCTCATTAAAAGTTGGCTTACCACATGGTGCCATTTCCCTACTGCTTGCAAACAATCACGGTAACACCCCCCCACACTGATTTGGCCTGGCTTGCAAAACGACAACAGGACAACGTTCTGACTTCCTCGGAAAGGAATCTCTTAAGGCGGTACCTTGAAGACAGAGGTGGTGGTTTCCTTGGAGACTACATAGCCCATATTCAACACATCTTCTTCCAGCGAACACGCAATGGACGTGATGACTCCCCGGCCGGTCAGTGTGAGCGTCAGGGTGGCTTTGTCAGTTCGTATCTCAAGGATTTCAAAATACTGGGAAGAGAAATTTCACGGGAGGAGCGGGGAATGGACGAAATAGCCAGTGAAACACCGTATGGATCAGTGTTTCTCAAATTTCTCCACTTTAAGAGGTGTGGACTTCAACTCCCAGAATTCCCCAGCCGGCTTCTGGGAGTTGAAGTCCACCCCTCTTAAAGTGGAGAAGCTTGAGAAACACCTGCTATAAAACATTAAAAGTGTGACAGGGGAACAAAGTAACTCACCGATTTGCTCTCCTCCGGACAGAAGGAAAGGACCAGCTCCCGGGATTCCCCTTCTCCAAGTGAACAAATCGGATTGGCCAGCAGAAACGGTCCGAAGGGATCGAGTAGGGAATATCCCAGCTGAAAAATTTAGTTCAAAGAACCCACAGCACGAAGAGAAACAGCTAATTCCTAACCTCGGACCACGTACGCAGACAAGCCTCTGAATGCTTTTCCTCCAAGTTGGGTTTTAGGAACGGAAAGCTGAGTTTGCATCTTTCCTTTTATTTTTTTTCCTCCTCCCTCCCCATCCTCTTTCCTTGCGTGATGTGGCTTTTGAACTGTAAACCTATAGGTAAAGTTTTTTTTTTCTTTTCTCAAAGTTACTTTTTCTAAATCTTTCTGGTTAAAAAAAAAACCAACTCAACAAATTATTCTTTTTTTAAAAGAAGAAAAACCGTCTAGTGGGAAAGATGGTGGAGCATCAGAGACGATAGTTCAATTAAAAGGATACCACCAAGTGTTCTTTGGATATATTCTGGATCTCTACTTCTTTCTTGATTCTATGCCCTGTGTGAAGAGACAACCCGGGTTAATAAAGCCAATAGAGGACAATTTTAAAAGAAGGACAACGTCAAGGAGCCATTTTTACATTGGTCTAGAAAAAATATAAAATCTAAAGAAAGAATTTTTACAAACCAACTTTGGGAAACCTGCAGCCTAACCGCCTGCTGTTGGCCTACAATTCAAAGCTTTTGCTATTGGTATTTCTGGAAATTACTAAGTGTGTGTGTGTGTGTATTTGTGTTTCTGTTTGTAGATACTACACCTTTGGCCTGCCCTATACAAACTCTTGTGTTGCTCCAATATTCCAAAATGAGCTTATAAGGCCATTGACAAGACTTGTGGCTCTCCACCAGGAAGCATCAAGGTTTATGAATTAAATTCTGCCAAGGAGAGGGGGGGGGGGAAAGAGGATCCAAAAAGAGGATTTCGTACCGACTGCAATGTCCCCGAAGTTGAAAAAAGTTCTCCCGTTGTTTGAAGTTACCACCACGACAGGGGCGACAGACGGACAATGCAGCTCCAAGTACAAAGTATTGTAAGGACTGTGGAGAGAAAATACATTTCAGTTCAAAACAGGCTCCTGGTTTTTCAACAGGAAGGATAACGGCTCACAAACACCGCAAGATCGCCGGAAGGTTTATTAATTCAGCAAAAATAGCTGATCAAAAGGCCAACTCTGGTCTTGAGAGAAGATTCTGAACTCAGAGAAAATTAAAAACAGGCTTCTGCGGCCTCCTATGGCGGGGTGGCACAGAGATGGGGTTGCTCGGTGCCCGAAGAGCCCACCATTTGCCTTTTGATTAATTTTAACGGCATTCAATTATCCGTGTGCCCTTTTAAAATTTTAATTTTTACACTCTTTCATGTAAAAATCCTTTATTGTACACCACCTAAGACGGGCAGTTCAAACATGTGAGATATAGGTAATATACATATATATATATATATATATATTAGCCAACCAGAAAGCGGCACGGTCTCGTTGAGGAATGAAGCCGGGCGAAAAGAAAGAACACCTCTACTAAATCTGGGCCTGTCACTGAAACCCGGTTTAAATCGGAGCAAAGCAAGGCGGCTCCCTTAATTACATGGGGATGCAAATGGAAGGGTGTGTCCACTGCAAGCAAGAGGCAGACGCTATGCGGATTTCATCAGCCAGGGATGTAGCCAAAGCAGCAGACTTTCAAACTCAGCACCTCCCGCGCTAGTGCAGTGGTGGAGCATCCCTCGGTCTCCGGATTCTGCGCACGGCGTACCTGAAGTTCATGTTTTCGGCCCCTCTCTTCTCGTCGATGTCTCCGCTCGCCACGAGGCAGGGTATGATGTACTTATCAAAACGGCTGGGGTAGCTGCGGGCTAGGTTCAAATGGGCCGCAATGTACTCTTCAGAGCTGGAGGGGGGAGAAGCCAAGCAACATTTGGTCAGCCCCCAAGGAGACCCACGTGGCACAGCCAACTCCTTGGGGTGGGGGGGTCAAGGCAAATCCTTAGCAGAGTGAACGTCCCTGAGATGTTCTCTGCTGCAGAGGTTGTCGAGCTTCCATGTCCAGGAGCAGCCTATCTCTAAATATCAATGGTAGGGTAGGGTGTGGGGGAGAGAGCCAGAGGCAAGAGACGGTTAGGCTTCACCTCTTCGGCATCAAATCCTTTAAGAGAATTTTTGGAAATAATTTCCTTATCGTGAATCTGAAGAAGAATGGAGAAGGAAGGAAGGAAGGAAGGAAGGAAGGAAGGAAGGAAGGAAGGAAGGAAGGAAGGAAGGAAGGAACAGATTCAAAAGGGTGATCTGAAGGGATCCGGTTCATCCTGTGGCCAGATAAGGGGGGGAGGAGGTCACCTGGGAGAGGACCATCTTGGATTTGCATGTCTAAAGTGGGGCCAAATTGTAGCCCCGAAGTCGGGCAAAGAGGACTAAGTGTTGGCCAGAAAGCAGACTTTGCATCCTCACTCTGTGGAGATGTCTTCTGGGTTGGGGGCTTCGAAGGGCTTGACGGGGCTCTTGTCCTTGGAGGGCTCAGCCAGGAAGGAGATGCTGCCTGTCTTCTTCCCATCTTTCCGTCCCAACATGGCTGCCTCCTCCTTCTTCCTCTGCCACCGAGAGAAGAGCAGACGGGAAGGTCAAGGCCTTCGGTCCCAATGGCAGCAAACCACGCATAGCTCTAGAGCTTCCCCTGGTTCCTGGTCCTGCTTCTGGAGAGGAAACTGAGCAACTGGGACCACCGGGTTTTTTTCAGTGTAGATTGAGAAAAGTTCCCAGCTCCTCCAACTCCATCTCCTTCCCTTCCTTCCCTCCCTTCCCCTCCCTCCCTCTCTCCTTCCCTTCCTTTCCCTTCCCTCTCTCCCTCCTTTCCTTCCTTTCCTCCCTCCCCTTCCCTCCCTCTCCCCTTTCCTCTCTCCTTCCTTCCCTTCCCTTCCTTTCCCTCTCTTTCTTTCCCTTCCCTTCTGTTCTCTCCTTTCTCCTTCCTTCCTTTTTCCTTGTTTTTCTCTCCTCTCCTCTCCTCTCCTTCCTTTCCATTGTGGCCATTCTGTGACTCTCTTAATTATACTATTGGCCTTTATTGCTTTTACTGGGGGTTAAATGAAATAAGTATTTACACTACTGTGATGAATTGCTGGTCTCTCATCTTTGCACAAGATCCCCTTCCTCGCTCTTCAAATCCAGCTCACCTGGATTTAGATTGTGTGTGTTTGTGTGTGTTTGCACCTTTGCTTCTCCAAGTTGTGGCCCTTTCCTTGGCCAGAAGGAACTAACAGGAAGTGACCTGCACCACTCTTCTGTTTACCTGTATTTCCAATTCTCGGGCTCTTTTCTCCATCTGAGCTTTGATTTCGGCATTCTGACACGATATGTTGACTGCCTCTTCCCTGATCAATTGATCGGGCAGCGCTGGGTGGAAGGAGACATCAAGCAGGCATTTCTGGACATCAGAAGTGGACAGAAGAGAAAGAAAGAAAGAAAGAAAGAAAGAAAGAAAGAAAGAAAGAAAGAAAGAAAGAAAGAAAGAAAGAAAGAAAGAAAGAAAGAAAGAAAGAAAGAAAGAAAGAAAGAGGGAGAAACAACTCACAAAAAGCAGAAACGACCAAGGACACAAAACCTGTAAACCAGGCAGGAAATGAAACGGCTGCAGCCCACAAAAACATGTAATTCTTCTCTTAGCTTCCAACGAGATTTGCAAAAGCCCCAACGAAGAGGGAAGAAATACATCTGTCTGCTAATTTTTAGGCTGACTTGATGAGAGACTGGACAGCCCTTTGTCTGAAATGGATATAGGGTTTCCTGCCTGAGCAGGGGGCTGGACTAGATGACCTCCAAAGGTTCCTTCCAACTTTATTATTATTATTATTATTATTACATGGCGTTTAGTTTGCATCGGTAGGAATTACAGCCCAAAGCAAAAAAGCTCACAGAGCTGGTTGGGATGCTGGGGTTGGTGATATCTTATTTAAACATGGTCGGAGTTTACCTTCCCGGGCAGGACAGTCCCCACGCATGGGATGATGATGATGGGAGAGTCTTCGGGCACGAGGAACTGGAAGGAAGTGGGTCCAACCGGGGCGATGTCCCCCTCGCCGATTCGCGGCATGGTGTGAGTGAAGTGGCTGATCCTCTCGTGAGGGTTGATGATGAAGAGGGTGGCGGCCGACACGTCGTCCAGAGCCGTGGCCGGAAACTGGACGAAGGAGTGGGAAAGCACAAGGGGCGGGTGGACGCCGACAGCCTTGCAGGACAGCTTGAACTCCCTAAAATTGGAAAAAAACGGGACTGAAATGTTTCCGGGTCACCGCCGTACTCTTTTCCAAGAAGCGGCGTGACAGAGTGGGCAGTTTGTCACCCCCTTCTGCGAACGTTTTTCATAATTGTTTTGTTTTAAATATTATCCCCCGAATAAGACAGCATCGCTTTTGAAAATGATGACAGTAATTGGCAGTTGTTTGGGCTGTTCTTGGTTTGTTTTCCCCTGTTTCAACACTGTTTTTGTCTTCCTTGTCTGCAGAGTGATTAGTGGCTCGGGTGGGTTGTGTAAAAACCAACCAGGAATTGTCTCCAAACAACACACAGATCCCTATTTGGATGTTATTCTAGAGTTTAAACTGGAGGTGTAAAAACCAAGCCAGCAACAAATTATGGTTTCCAACTGGGACTTTGCCTCCTACAACGAACTGTGGTTTATGCACTGACTCGCATTTCAACCTCGTGGGAAGCCAACGAAATCAAACTAGAATAGAATAGAATAGAATAGAATAGAATAGAATAGAATAGAATAGAATAGAATAGAATAGAATAGAATAGGAATAGGAGTAAAATAGAATAGAATAGAGTAGAATAGAAATAGAAATAAATTAATAAGGAATAGAATAGAATAGAATAGAATAGAATAGAATAGAATAGAATAGAATAGAATAGAATAGGAATAGGAATAGGAATAGGAAATAGGAGTAGAATAGAATAGAATAGAGTAGGATAGAAATAGAAATAAATTAATAAGGAATAGAATAGAATAGAATAGAATAGAATAGAATAGAATAGAATAGAATAACAGAGTTGGAAGGGACCTTGGAGGTCTTCTAGTCCAACCCCCTGCTCAGGCAGGAAACCCTATACCATTTTAGACTACCTCCTTAGGTTTTAACTGTATGGTTTTGATTGCCACATTTTATGGGAAACCATTTTATTGTTGAATGGTGTGATAAACAGATATCCTTATCTATAGAAGCGTCTGGGCTTTTGGAGAGGAAGGGCCATCTACTGATAAAATAAAGCAAATAAGAATAACTTAGCACAACGTGAGACTTGAGCCACTGAAAATCAAAAACCTGCTGATAGCGAGGTCAGTGTCTTCAAAGACCCTGAATCCAGGTGAACAAAAGTGCTGCGTTTGCATCATATTCAAATAAATAAATCACAGAATGGAAGGGCAGGGCAGGAAATGATAGCAGAGGTCATTTAGCCCAACCCCCGACCCCATGCCAGAAGCTAACTATGGAGTCCTCTGTTCTAGCTAGGGCTAGCTGAACCTCCAGTGGATCTCATCCCAATTCAGGGATTCCCCAAAATCGCTTTGGCCAGTGACATCGCAGAATTGGCCACGGAAACCTAGGCATACCTGTTGATCTCGGTCTTGCAAATCAGTTCAAAACTGTAAACTTTCGCCTTTTTGGCTTTGAAGATGACATCCAGGCTCAAGCTTTCCAGAGGCAGGAGTATTCCAAACCCATCATTGGGCTGAACTTCTATAAACTTTCCAAATTAGAAGGGGAAAAAAAAATGACCAAGGAAAAAGTATTAGAAAATGGACAATCTTTTTTCTTTTTTCTTTAAAAAAGGAACATCCTATCATTTCTAATGTATCAATTATAGACATTTTACCCTATCAAAAGGGTTGTTTTAAACTTGGTTCTCGGAATTCTTATACGTTTAGTGAGATTACAAAGCAAAAAAGGAAAGGCCTTGACTATTGTATTGACTATGGACATCTGCTGCCCACCCCCACCCCCCATTCTACACAAGCCAAGCTACTAGTCCTCATGGCTATTTAGATTTGCTTTAAAGCTCCTTTCCACGAGAAGTTAAAAACGTCAGAAATTATGACGGATCAACACTAGGAACGCCATCCTAGGACAAGAAGCAATTTTTTTTTACCTTTGGCAGTTCAACAAAACCAAACTCCTGGGGGAGAATTGCTTTGTTGGTGAGTGTGATTGTTGTCCGAACGGCTTCGTAGATAGAGCAGTATCCAAAATCCACTTCGGCTGGGCTGATCTCTAGATCCGAAGTGGTCAGGATGGCGTGCATGGTGAATTCAACCGGCTTGCTCTAAAAACCAGGAAATGAGGCCGAGCGGCGAAATGATCGGAATGTTACATTTGAACAGGGGTAAAGAATCCTGGTTTGTCCAGAAAGAGACAGGACCTGGCTTGTGCTTACAGAGCAAAAAGCCAAGTTTGGCCTGGCTGACCTGTTCGGAAACAATGATCGTCATGGGGGCTTCCAGAACTCGCGTCCTCTCGTCAAAGTACTTCTTGGCATCTTTCGAAAGGGAGATTCTGAAAAAGAAAGGAATGGGGGGGGGGGTTCCAGGCTGAAGGGAGTTGCTAAAGCAGAGGGTGGGCAACTATGGCCCCTTTCATGAACTGTGGACCTGAATTCCTGAGCCACACCCATGCGCCATGAATCCCACATTGTGGTTTGATTTCAGCCCATCCAAAGTCATTTGCCTGTCAGAGCCTCCCACTTGTGGAATTAAGAGAACTAGCAATCCTGGTTTATTTAACATCCCACAGCCAAGCAAAGAGTCGTGTGACAGAAAAAGGGGCAGCCTATCACTTGAATAAGTAGAAGTAAAGAAATAAATGGAGGAATGGAACCTTCCATTTTACAACCTGCAAATAATTCGGGGTTACGTATTTTCAGGTAACCCCTTCCCATCCAAACAACTACAATACGGGAGATTTTTTTTTTTCTCCCTCTCTTTCTTTTGTCTTTTTTTTGCAGCACAAATTATTAGTCTGACGGAGCGGCAAAGCAGGTTTTTTAAGCTTCGATTCCGCGCGGGGATGCCAACACAAGGCTTTCATTGCTTTTTCTCTGCTTTTAAACACCAGGAAATCCTTCTGCCAGCCTGTGATATTAAATAGGAGCCGACGATAAGCCGATGCTGTATTGACTACTTTTTTTTTTTAAAGACCAAGAGATTGCTCTGCGTTCAGGACAGTAATTTTTGGCTATAAATAGAACTTAAAGTTGCACAGTAAATCAGGATGCGAGCTTCCGAGGTCCCAGCTGTAGTTAGCTAAGGCACCCATCGCGGGCAATCTGTTCCTCTTGACGTTGATGTGGATTAATTAGCAGCCATTCTGAGTCACCTTCGGTGGGAGCGCGGTGCCGCACGGATGAAGCCCTGCTGGGGCCCCCCCCCAATGTCTTGGCACCTCCACTCACCCCTCAACTGTTCCCACTCAAGTGGACAGAAAAGGATTTGCTGCTCAAATCCACACACATTCTAACAGCTCTCCAAAAGGAGAGTTTCACTCAGCCACGTGAATAAAAAAGGCACTCGGAAGTTAAAGCGGGACCTACCGATTCCTTACCTTGGCAGGAACTTCAACTGGACGCTGAAGGAAGACTGGGCTTGGATATAGCCTGTTTTGGGCAGCAACTCCACGTAGCTAGCTAGCTCCTTGCAAACTTCAAACTTTAGGCGTAAGGCGCTGGTCGCTCTGCAGAGAGAGGAAGGCAAGAGAGCAGAGAGGACATTGACTTACCACCACAATCGAGGCCAAAAATTTATGTTGCTAAGTGAGACACTGGCGCAGTGAAGCTGAATTTCAAACCCTCGGAATCCAGGGTGAGATGAATCCAGAAACAATCACTCTTGTCTTTTTAATCGTATCTTTCCTCCCGGGGAGGGTGGAAAGATAGAAACACTCCAGCAAAATCTGTCTCATAACTCAGCTATTTGTCACTCTTGGAAGCTGAATTTTGGAGATAACATCTGCATTCCCTTCCAACTGTGAAAAAAAAAATAATCTTGGCAGGGTTGAAGGTCTAGTAAGGCACTGAGAATAGGTATGGGTTCCAAGAGACCGTTGTTTTAAAAAAAACACACACACAAAGGAAACGAAGGAGAAGAGGATAATCTAGCATACGTTTTTTAAAAAAGCCAATCCTATTTTTGCTCGCATTCAAAATAGAACGTCGAACGGCGAGGATGAAAAGGAAATTAAAAATAGCAGGGCTTCAGAACATCTTGCTAGCTGAAGCTGCAGACTGAGAGAAAGGTGGGAATTGGCGCGTGCCGGCAAAAAGACGGCAACACTTTTCGGAAAAAGCAAACACTGCGGGCGCACGGGGTCTTGTCTTCCGAAACCCAGCCCCGTTTGTAACCTTACAATTCCTGGCAGTTCTGTTAAAAGCATGCTTCTTTCAAGCAGCCTAACATTACACACCTGTCCTTCAAAATTTAAAAAAAAAATGGCACGGTGTTGGGCTAGACCTGTATTACACACTGCTCACCTGCTCTGGACCACGATGCAGTCCTGGTAAAGTCGATCATACATGCAGATTTTCAGGTCAACTGTGGGATTGCACACCCGGACCGGCACGGCCATTGAGACGGCGACGACCCCAATCTGCAACTAAAGATAAATCTGTGAAAACTCAAAAGGGTCCAGAGATGTCGACTCTGGCATGTTTTTTATAAAAAGCACCATCCCAATTTCATGCTTGCCGTGGTTCTTACCAATAAACAACTCTTTCATTTTTCTTTCATAACCTGCTTGTGGATAATTAGCTCCCAGGGCTAATACCACGTTTGTTTTAAGTTCTTTTCCTTAGCTTAAGGAAATGTGGATGCTATTTTCCTGAGCCTCACTCTGCACTGCAGTGCAAATTAAGGGGAGTGCAGATGCTCACTGATATATTTATGATTTTGTAAGGTGCGTTTAATCCAACCTTTACCACTTTGTAAGTAAGGTGGAGAATGTCTGTGGAGATTCTCAATCATCTAGGCCATCGTTGTTTCAAAGGTGCTTTTTAACGTATCTGCAGCAGGGGAGGGGGAGAGAAATTAATCCCACTACTCACTGGTTTGCAATCTGGGTTCTCAAAGATAATCTCCAAGTCAGCCTGGATGGTCCCAGGAACCACAGGTGTGAAAATAATCTGAAGTTTGACAGAGCTGAAGGGCCCAATATCGCCCTTGGTTACCTGGAAACAATCATCAAAGACGGTTGCTGGAAGTTAAGTAGTTCTGTTTATTGATAACTTTCAGCAAGGGCTCTTTTTAAAAGATGTTTAAGTGGTTTTATTCTACCGTTTTCTTATTGCGAACTCAAGAGTGGAAAAATAGAATAACAGAATAGCAGAGTTGGGTGGGAGCTTAGAGGTCTTCTAGTCCAACCCACTGCTTGGGAAACTATGGCCGGCTTAGGAATTCTGGGAGTTGAAGTCCACAGGCCGTAAAGGGGCCCTAGTTGCCCACCCTGCCCTAGACCATTCCAGACAAAGGGCTGCCCAACCTCTTCTTGAAAACCTCCAATGTTGGGGCAGCCACAACTTCTGGAGGAAAACTATCCCACCAGTTAATGGTTCTCACGATCAGGAAATTTCTCCTTCGTTCTAGGTGGGCTCTCTCCGCCCTTGTGACTGCCCACTTGGAAATCACGCAACCTCGGTCCATCCACGCGGGCCACCTTCGCTCAAAGGCAGATCAAACAAGTTCTCCATTGTTTTGTTACCTTGCCCAATTTTAGTTCGCAGATCTCTTCCGGGGGGTCTTCCAGGGGGCTGGCATCTGGAGAAACGGGTGGGATTTCTCCAGCAATGTCCATCTCAAAGGCTGCCTGCGGCTCTTGAAAACGGAAACACAGGAGAATCAGAGACATTACATCCATCACAGGGCTCTGCCTATCAGAAAAATCCTTGCACGGCCCAGTGGTCCATACGCTTACTTATTGTAATAGATATACATGTAGACCTCAACTTACAACAGTTCATTCAGTGACCATTCAAAGTTACAACAGCACTGAAAAAAGTGATTTTTCATCGCTTATGACCATTGTAGCATCCCCATGGGGTCTCTCTCTCTCTCTCTCTCTCTCTCTCTCTCTCTCTCACTCTGTCTCGCTCTCCCTCCCTCCCTCTCTCTCTCTCTCCCTCGCTTTCTGCTCTTGGTCTGCCAGTCCTCTTCCCCCACTCTCTTTCTTTCTCTCTCTCTCTTTTTTCTCTCTCTCTTTTTCTCTTTCTCTTTCTTTCTTTCTCTCTCTCTCTCTCTCACTCACTCTGTCTCTCTCTCCCTCCCTCTCCCTCTCTTTCTGCCCTTGGTCTGCCAGTCCTCTTCCCCCACTCTCTTTCTTTCTCTCTCTCTCTCTTTTCTCTCTCTTTTTCTCTTTCTCTTTCTTTCTTTCTCTCTTTCTCTCTCTCTCTCTCTCTCATTCACTCTGTCTCTCTCTCCCTCCCTCCCTCTCCCTCTCTTTCTGCCCTTGGTCTGCCAGTCCTCTTCCCCCACTCTTTCTTTCTCTCTCTCTCTTTCCTCTCTCTCTCTTTTCTCTCTCTCTCTTTCTCTCTCTCTCTCTCTCTCTCTCTCTCTCTCTCTCTCTCTCTCTCTCTCTCTCTCTCTCTCTCTCTCTCTCTCTCTCTCTCTTGAAAGGTGCGTGTTCAGAGAGGAAGCCCCATACCATTTGTGGTGGTCACAGTGGCATCACTATGTAGCTTCTCCAACAGGGGAGTGTTTGGAGTAACTTCTTCCGAGTGGGACAGAGACACGGCGTCAGTTCCTATACTGTAGCTGCTTTTCTCCGTGCTGAATAATTCACCCACAACAGGGTTGACCTAATCGGAATATGGGAAGGATGGGCAGCTTTGTTGAAAAAGTCCAATTCCAATTATTTTCCCAGATGGACCCTCAACGTTTGAGGCCATGCATCTCCAGACCGAATTGCACTTCCCATCGTGATGACAGAAGATGATTCCTTGAGATCCACCAGCATCGGCTAAATGTTTCGTGTCCCAGAACGGACATTTTTAGGGGGGGTCAAAAAAACCCACCACACGCCAGAATATCTCCTTACCTTGGCAATATTTGCCAGCTGGTTAGGAAACGGCACGTGGTAAAAAAATAGATGGGAAAAAAATTAGAATGCAGTTCATAAGCTGTACCAAGCCATCACTTAGTTATTTATGGTTTATTAAGAAGCCACAAATGCTTGGATGTGCAAATAAAAGTACGCTAAACCCAACAAGCCAAATTACGGTTGAGCATGTTGCATAAACCAAGCAAAAAAACCCTGCATGGACTGAAGGGGCGAAAAAGTAAATGAAAAATTTGGGATTTCACATCACTTCAAACTTCAAGCATCTTCTCTTACTGCCTAGATTCCTGAATCTTAACAAAGAAACCGCAGCAAAACTTTTGCTGCTTCTGATTCCAAAGTTCAGGAAACAGACCGCCTCAGGAAATCTGTTTCACCATTTCTATTCTAAATTATTTCCGTTCTTCTCTTCCCACCGATCCCTTCAGACTTTGGCTTCACTGCAAGCCTCAGGATGGGGATGTTCCATTTAAGGAGCTGAGAGTGGCACCCTTTCTGGTCAAAATAATAAAATTAAAGGCACCTTTATTTAGTTGGAGCAAAGTTGCAAGGACTGACTTTTTGGAATGAGCTCCCAAGCAGGCTGAAAGGACCTTGAAATTGGTCCTTTTGGGGTGGGGTGGAGAAGGAAAATGACTACTGCTGGCTATTTTTAGATGGACTGATGAACGGAAGAGGTTAATGCAGATTTACCGGCTTCTCGGTGGAAGGTAGCGGCGTCGTGGTGTGCGGAGCCTTGGTGTCACCTAATTTTCGGAGCTGGAACCGTGTCCCCAAGGCCCCGTCATTCATCAAGGTGATGGTCCGTGAAATGGTCTCCCCAACCACATGCATGCCAAAATATATGAGCTCTTTATCCAGGGACAGCTGAAAAAAAGAGAAAGGGGAAGGCGTGGACAGGGAAATAATTTAATTTAACGCCACAGGGGCAATCAGGTCAGGTCAGCGAAGGAGCACAAGTGCTTCTGCATCGCTGCAAGACGTCCTCGAGTTACATCCATTTGCTTAGCAGCTATTAAAAGTTACGACATGACTAATAACCGGCCCTCACACTTACGACCCACAGCATCCCCATGGTCCTGTGATCAAAATTTGGGCGTTTGGCTATAGATCGGTATTTATGATGTTCCAGGATCGCCAACAAGATCGCCAACGTCCGATAACGGATACGGCAGAAGAAGAAGAAGAAGAAGAAGAAGAAGAAGAAGAAGGAGGAGGAGGAGGAGGAGGAGGAGGAGGAGGGGAGGAGGAGGAGGAGGGTGGGAAGTTATGTCTCCAGATGTGTGTGCAAGACACACAAATGCACACAGACACACACCTCTCATGGGGAAATAGTTAAGGTGCTGGACTTAGAGAGGACAAATGGGCTTGCTGAATCAAACTCTGCCAGTTATTCTACCTCAGCCCCAGTCCACCTCGCAGGGTGTTGTGGGTTCAAAACTGGAGGAGAGAGGGTCTCACCCGGAGTCCCTGAGGGAAAGGCCAGATAAAAATCTAACAAAGAAATAAAATAACACTGAAAGAGAGAGAAAATGAAGCTTCTGCCCATTCTCTGTATTCATTTATTCTTTCGCTCGCCTTCGCTTTTAAATACATTAAAAGGGAATTTCCTGCCATGTGTGACAAAGGATTTAAACGTCTCTGGGTTTATTTAGCACAAGGTTTGCCATCCAAATCAAAAGATGTATCCCTACGCTTGCTAGAGTGTCATTTCACGGCTGCCTCCTCCAAACATACAGCGCTGGCTACAGAGTAAGTGATTTGTAGATTTAATTCAAGGAAAAAAACCGGGCAGTTTATTTATTGAAACGCTGCTAGGCCACTGTGCCTTTGAATTCTCCCAGATCTTCCTGCTTCTCCTCTTTTCCTGCTAGCATTTTTTTCCCCTTTGCTCCTCTATATAGTATACACCAAAGCAGGTAAAAAATTTTCCTCTCCTGATCCTAAGGCAAAATCTGGACCTACCACGCATTTCTTGGTTGAGCACTTCAGGGGGATGGAAAAGGATCCAGTCTGGGATAAAAAGGTGACTTCTCCTTCAAGATCTTCATTTATCTGAAAGAAAACCAGCAGATACTTTTAGGGGGGGGGGGTGCTGCAATGGCCGTTGAGTGTGACAAACGGTCACAAGTTCCTTTTTCCAATGCTGCTGTAACTTTGAACGGTCGCCAAATTGGATAGTTTTGTAGGTGGAGAACTACCTGCGATGGGCTGAAACGCACCAGCGAGAAATGCTTCTCCAGACTTAAAATAGTTCAAATTGGTGTATTTATAGCAGTAGGGGGATCTAGGCTACCGCCCCTTGAGAGCCCCCAGAGTGGTTATCAGATTGCCCTTAGTCCTAGAGAACTAATGAGATCCTGGGCTGAAAAGCAATCACTGGTGGCCCATCAACCGGAGAAAACCTCGGGATCTTTGCCACGGTTTTAAATTGAAACGCTGGGGAACAACCTGAGCTGCCCTTTCCGCGAAGAGGCTCAACTTTGTTTGAAACAATTTGAAAAAAGAAAAATTGCAAAAGGATGGAAAATGCTTTTCAGGACCTGAAAAACCACAGTTAAAAGAAAATAAACGACCCTGGGTCAAAATGAAGAAACTGTCTCTGGGTGGCCTGTAATTCCTTCCACTCCACAACGAGGCCTTTTCAAAAATCTGGACGTCAAGGCCAGGGCCGTCACACAGCCAAGCTGTGGAGTGTCACGGCTCCATCACCCTGTCAACCAAGCGTGACTCAGCCTTCAAGCTTCCGGGGCTGTTGTGAAGTTTCCAAACTGCCGTGCCCATTTAATCAGGCGGATTGTGCATTTCTCCTACCATAGGTTTAAAGGTCACCCCAACTTCACAAGACATTCCTGAAGACATCGGACCCGGGGGATCAAAGCTGCGAATGGAAAAGAAAAGAGAGGATCACTGGATCACGGCAGTATTTCTAAGGAAAGCATGGGGGGCGGGGGAAAACATTTTTCACCGTTGCTGGTTGACATTCATGGAGTAGAAAACCAATTTTACTTCAGACCAGAAACATTCACTCAATGTTTTTCAATGTGTATAGTGAGGAGCAACATGGAAGTCCCCTAATCATCTTTTTTTACTGTTTACTTTCTACTGTTTACTCTGGCAAAGCAATTGCCAATTTCAACATGCATTACTAAGAGTTCTTAACTTTTCAAAAAGTTAAAATGTCGGCATCCTGATAGCCCCCTTATTATTATCTTACAGAGAACCTTCTTTCTCCCTCCTATGTGTCCAGAATGTTCACGTAGCCATACGACCCACAAATCCTGATGAAATGATTAACGTATCTTGACTTACAGCACAGTGAAGAAATCTTTCAAATGTTCGCTGACGCCATCCAACTTGCAGTAGTTGATACTGTAGAAGGCATTGATCAGAGTCACCTTCTTTTTATAGGTTTTTCCAACATCAAAGTCCTAGAAATATTTTTTTTTTTAAAAAAAATTATATTAGCTCTACTTTTTTTTAAATAAAGAGTGTCATGAAAAGCATGATGGTCTGATCAGTGCAACACAACGACTAAACTGGAGAACGTTCGATTAAACAGAATGTATTTATTGGGTCAGACACATCACAAGAGACCAAGCCTGGTCCAGATTAAAACCATCCAACTTCGGCCCGCTTTGTGAATGCAGTTGATCAAGTCATATCTCACCTTGAAATGAATGAGACTCGGCTTGCTGTAAAAAGGACACCCTTTAAACTCACGCCCACAAACACGGTGTTTGCGAATGACTCCAGCATGTAGTTTCTCCAAGTTCCGGGTAAAAATGTCCTTTTCAAGTTTCGACACGCCGAGGGGTTTGGAATCAATTTTGTCATCCAGTTCCTGAGGAGTGGGCAATGCTGGTTTATAAAGGACTTTATAAAATAAAACGGCTTGATAAAGAAAGCATTTGATTCAAAAAGGCTGGAACCTACAAATTGGTGGCTTTCTCCATTTACTTCCTTTCTTCCTTATAAATGGGAAGCTCTCCAGCTAAAGTAGGGGTGGGCAACGTGGTGTCTTTTGACGCCTACCAGCTCTTTGCTCCAACTGACTTAATAAAAAGTGTGCATTTAAATCTAGAACCCCGAACATAGAATAATAGGGTTGAACGGGCCCTTGGTGGCCTTCTAGTCTGACCCCATACTCAAGCAGGAGACCCTATACCATCCTCTGGTTTAATGAAAAGAAGGACTAGGGGTGATATGATAGCAGTGTTCCAATATTTGAGGGGTTGCCACAAAGAGGAGGGGTCGAGCTATTCTCCAAAGCACCTGAGGGCAGGACGAGAAGCAACGGATGGAAACTAATCAAGGAGAGAAGCAACCTAGAACTAAGGACAGTGAGAACAATTAATCAATGGATGTGAATGCTCCAACACTGGAAGTTTTAAAGAAGAGACTGGACAACCATTTGACTGAAATGGTATAGGGTTTCCTGCTTGAGCAGAGGGTTGGACTAGAAGACCTCCAAGGTCCCTACCAACTTGGTTATTCTGTTATCCTGAAAACACAGTAAACAGGGATGTGGAGCAGGGTGACAGATTTGAGTTAAATGTGTGTTTTTGCCATCCACTCGGGAACCAAGTGGTGAAGAGCAAAAAATGGCACCTGCTGGCATCTAGCCTTGAGTTCGTTTTGGCAGCAGGAGAAAAATGCTAGCTCTCTGTTGAGCTTAAAACTGGGGAAACGGTCGCATGGGGTCTTGACTTCGGTAGGACTGGGACACGTTGACAAAAGAGGGCAAGGTTAAGAGTCAACATCAATGGAACAGCCCAATGCTGAGAGATTAATGCTGCAGAACAGCTGAGGTCAGATGCGCAAAGGTTAACCATCTGAAAGAAAGAAAGAAAGAAAGAAAGAAAGAAAGAAAGAAGGAAGGAAGGAAGGAAGGAAGGAAGGAAGGAAGAAAGAAAGAAAGAAAGAAAGAAAGAAAGAAAGAAAGAAAGAAAGAAAGAAAGAAAGAAAGAAAGAAAGAAAGAAAGAAAGAAAGAAGCTTCCAACCCACTTGGGAGAATGGACCCCGCGTTCAACCCAGTGAGAAAAGGCCGGGAATAAATAAATAAACGGAAAAGCCAGAAAGATGGATCTGAACCTGCAATGAGTTATATTCTTGGTCCCAAATCCCAACAAATTCCGGCTCCGCAAGCACGTTATCCGCCTCTTCCTCTTCGCCTTCGGTTTTGCTTTCGGGGATGGGCTCACAAGAGGCGGTACAACTTTTGTCATCCAGCGAGGGGGAAATGGAAGGGCTGCGCCGAGGTTTCTGCCGCAGAACAGAGACGCTGGTGAGTGGCAAAAAGTCAAAGGGCGGTTTGGACAGGTGAATTAATCACAGAATCTTGGGAAAATTACGAGAAAAAAAACCACGTCAACTTCGACATAAGCTCCCAGAAACTGAAGAATGCAAAATTCAATAATCTGGTGCAGACTCATTGCTACTTCCAAATAAATTGTTTTCTTGCTAATGGAAAGTGAACGGTGCAAAATTCAGTAATTTGGAGCGGATCCATTACCGCTTCCAAATAAATGGCTTTCTGGCCATGCACACCTTTGAAGACAAACCAAGACAGCACTAAGTCACTATGTCTTTGTTTGGGACCAGTATATATCATCTTTATTACTGGGGTCAGCAGACCAAGACCACATGGGATTCATCCCATTTAAATCTGCTATTTATGAAAAAAAGAACAATTAAGATAATTTAAACATCCAGGCTGATGTTTGCGGCAATGAAATTCCACATGACTTAGATTCAGATTTGGAGATTTTTCAGTTCTGGGCCATTACAAGGTGCTAATTGAAGGAAAGATTTTGATCTAATAATCCAACAGTCCCTCCCTGCTTCCTCTCACCTGTGTGACAGGTGCTACCTTATCGCTACATGTTTCCTCAATGTAACGCCATGTTTTCATGCGCCACTTAACAGCGTCGGAAACTTTGTCCGGGTCTTTGGATTCCTGGAGACAAGATTGTGCTTTCATTTTCTCCACCTGGCCTTCTTCTTTCAAAATCCGAGCGACTATTTCAATTTTTCTTGCTTTCTGTTGTTCCAGAAACTCCCTGTGGGGGAAGCAATGGCAGACAATGGAGACAAACTGGAGACAAGACACCAGGAAAACAGAGGGAGCAAACCGCTGACCTCTGAGCCGAAACGCATTAATCCTCTTATACTTTTTAAAATATATATATATTAAAAAGGGAAAGTGTGTGCTTTATTTTGTGACCTGCGTTCTTATTGCATTTGCAAATATCCTCCTTTGAAACAGACTGTCGAGGATGCTAGCAAAAGAACTCAGATAGCTGGTGGCTACTAGCTGCTAAAATTCAGGTCTCCTCTCACCGGCTTGAAAAAAGTACTGCTGATTGACTAGAATTAACTAAGAATTAATTTCCATGTTCTTAACAAGAAATGACGAGCTATCAGGAAGGGGGGTTGGATTGGAGAGGGGTTAATGATTCCATTTTCCAGATCTACTGCTCTAAATTTGAGGTTCTGACTTCTAGGCAACATTTTCTGGAGCTTAATTTTTTAAAAAAAATAATGTACAGAAAGGGGAAAATAATTGTATGCACACATATCGGTACTTTTAAAATGATACTTCAGCTATTGGAGAAATAGGAATCGTTTCAAGCACATCCCAGCAGAAAACATGAGCTGAAACGTTAGGGAGGCTTAATTCTTAATTAATTAATGGCAAGGAATTCTAGTCCAAATGTTTTTTTAAAAAAACTTTCCCCCCCCTGCATAGTTGACCCTTTCCAACTGAGGTCTCATCTATAAAGGACTTAGGTGGAAAATAACCCGTAAGGCTGTTAATTTATCAGCACGCCACCATTACCATGATATTTCTGAAAATTAGCAGCGTACTTTTTCCGCTTTTCAAACTCAATTTGTCGCTTCTGGCAAAAAAACTCCCGGGTCACATTATGTCCTTTAGCCTGAATGCCTTCCTTTATTTTCTGGTCTTGCTCTTCAGCATCAAGTGCAATCAATTTGCCCAGGACTTGACGGGTTCGGAGATTTTCCTAGACAAGAGTATTAAAAAAATAAAATTAAAATTATACCTTTGTTTGGGGAATTGCAAGGAAAGCAGTTCATGAGGGAAGAAGTCAGCAGGGATCCCACTCCAGATTTCAATTGCTTTCAAAAGTTACATGTGGTCCTCGGCTTATGACCACAACGGAGCCCAATTTATGTCGCAAAGCGGGACAGTTGTTAAGTGGGATTTTGCCCCATTTTATGATCCTTTCTTGTCACAGTTTGTTAACTGAATCACTGCAAGTTAAGTTAGTCACACGGTTCTTGAATGAGTCTGGACTCCCCATTGATTTTGCGTGCCAGAAGGTCACAAAAAATGATCCCATGACTCTGGAACATTGCAACCGTCGTAAATATGAGTCAGTTGCCAAGTGTCTGAATTTTGGTTACGTGACACGGCGATGGTGCCATGGTCTTGAGTGTGAAAAGGTCATAAGTCACTATTTTCAGTGCCACTGTAACTTCAAATGGTCATTAAATGAACTGCTGTAACTCAAGAACTACGTGTATTTCTTCCCCCCCCCCCAAAATAAATCCTATCAATTATATTCAAAGTCATAACATAACATGGTTTGATTGATCTGGAAACTGGCACAGGGCCACTTGTGGCTTAGTCAGAAATGCGGGGTTAAAATCGTGGCTTAGCCTGATCTAAGAATGAAGCCTCCTTACGATGAGACTTCTGTTGTTTGACTTTATTCTGAACATAGTTTGGCCAACGTGTCCCATTTTTCCCCCCACAAAACGGCAGTTGCGAACTATCGCTAGTGGTGTTGCGTTACCGATACCAATTCCTCCATCCCTTTACAAACTCCTTCTTTGCAGGCTAAAAGCGAAAAAAAAAAAAAGACTAGGGTAGGATTCTCCCTACACCAGTGGAGTTGAATTGAGACAGGAAGGCCCAATTTTGATAGCTTTGTTGTAAAAACAGTGGCGTGGTCTCCTTCTCGGGCGGTGAGCCCTTACCCGGTTCGAACTGATGCTGTTTTTCAGAGACAAAACCGTCTCCATCCTTTTCTGCAAATGTTCCTGGCGGTTCTGTTCCTCCGCCAGTTCCTTCTGACGAACCCTGTCGGAAAAGCACAGAGTCAAACCTGATCCATATTGGTGAAGCCATTTTGACTGATGCCCATCAAGGGGGAGAGTGCCATGGGAGGCCAGCTGCTTAATGCACTCAACAAACCAGGGTTAGCAAGCCTGGTTTGTTAAGCTCCGCCTCTCCTGTCCTTCTACAGCAGGCTAGCTGAGGACTTTTCCAATGGGACCTAGGAGAGCAGGCAGCCTTGATCTCATAGGACCTCATACTGTTATATAAGTTCTACACAGTGTATCATATATGGATCTCGTAGGTCTAGCCTAATGAAGAGACGGATTAGGGATGGCATGATAGCTGTCTTCCAATATTTGAGGGGCTGTCCCAGAGGAGAGGGGCTCTATCTCTTTTCCAAAGCACCAGAGGGCAGGACAAGAAGTAATGGATGGAAGCGTATCAAAGAGAGATCCAACTTAGGAGACATTTCCTGACAGTGGGAACAGTTAATCACTGGAACAGCCTGCCTTCCGCAGTTGTGGCTGCTTCAACACTGGAGGTTTTCAAGAAAAGATTGGTCATCCATTTGTCCAGGATGGTATAAGGACCCCTGCCTTGGGCCAAGGGTTGGCCTAGCCCTAGAAGACCTCCAAGGTCCCTTTCAGCCCTAGGACTCTATGATTCATTCAGGAGCTGAAACACAGCGGCATAACACAGTAGCATAGCTCCACAGGTTGGAGAAGGAAATCCCAAAGGTTAATGGACCAGACCTCTTCTAGTTTAACGAAGAGAAGGATGAGGGGGGGACATTATAGCCGTGTTCCAGTATCTCAGGGGCTGCCCCAAAGAAGAGGGAGTCAAGCTATTCTCCAAGGCGCCTGAAGGCAGGACAAGAAGCAACGGGTGGAAACTAACCAAGGAGAGAAGCAACCTAGAAATAAGGAGAAACTTCCTGACAGTGAGAACAATTAACCAGTGGAACAACCTGCCTCCAGAAGCGGTGAATGCTCCAACACTGGAAGTTTTTAAGAAGAGACTGGACAGCCATTTGTCCGAAATGGTATAGGGTTTCCTGCCTGAGCAGGGGGTTGGACTAGATGACCTCCAAGGTACCTTCCAACTTTATCATCATCATCGTCGTCGTCGTCGTCATTATTATTATTACTATTATTATTATTATTATTATTATTATTATTATTATTATTATTATTATTATTATTATTATTATTATTATTATTATATTATTATTATTATTATTATTATTATTATTATTATTATTATTATTATTATTATTATTATTCCTTGAAACGAGAAACAGAGGAGGGACAAGTAAATGACATACTTTCCTAAACTCTCCTTCAGAAACCGGACGGCCTTTGCGTGGTTCCTCTGAGACTCTTCCAGCACGTTGGCCAGGTTTTCTTCATAAGCCTTGCTAGCTACCTGGATTTTTCTATAGAGACAAAAAAGAAGAAGAAGAAGAAGAAGGAGGAGGAGGAGGAGGAGGAGGAGGAGGAGGAGGAGGAATCTTTCAAAGGGGGCTGCCGAATCCCAACATATAATAGACAGAAAAGATCTTCCCAATAGATACTTTTTCATCAGTTGTCCTGTCAGGGTGCCTGAAGCTGTTTTCTCCCTGGTTGAGGTCTGAGGCTCAAATTTGCCATTTTCCTCCTCCCTCCCCACCCCTTTTTCCTTCGTACACCGTACTTTCTGGATTGTAGACTGATCATCTCCTGATTTTCCTGGTGCTCTAATGTCGAAGCATCCTTAAGAGGGGGTTTGAAATCCAGCCTACCTTTCGGTGTTCTGCCACCTCTGGCTCAGGAGCTGGGCCATCTCATCCTGTTTCTGGAGCCTTTCCTCCGCCTGGTCTCGGCGCTGCTGGTCCAGCTCTGCCTCGTCTATCTTGAGCTGCTTGCGAAGTTTGGCAAAATTCCCTTCTTCTATTTCAATCTTCCACATTTCAAACCTTGGGCAAAGGGAGGCCTGATCAGCATCCGACCTGCTTGGGTGGTCGTCCATCCACATTATGCATGGGAGCAGCCTCTGTTGGCCCCGGAACCCTCACCCTCGCATCACTTAGAGCAGTGATGGCGAACCTTTTAGAGACCGAGTGCCCAAACTGCAACCCAAAACCCACTTATGCATCGTCGGGTGCCAGGTGGATGTGGCCCATTGGGTGGGTGTGGCTGCGGTGGTAACGGCAGACTGGGTGGGACTAAAAAGTTCAATCAATCAATTCCAACTTTGCAAGATCTTTTTTTTCCCCATGAGAAGTTGAAATTGACTGATTGAACCTTTTTTTTTTTTTTTGCACACGGCGGCGGAGGCCTAAAGCGAAAAGGTTTTATAAAACCCAGCTGAAGGCCTAGGACTGGGGCGACGGCGCACGTGCCCACAGAGAGGGCTCTGAGTGCCACCTCTGGCACCCGTGCCATAGGTTCGCCACCACTGACTTAGAGACAGAAAGTGGGTCCCAGAAATTCAAGTCCACCTTCATCCAGGAAATTACACAAGGCGGCTTCAAGCTAGGCTAGCCTCCCTTATGAGGTTTCATTATGGGGGGAAAAAAGGGGGAGGAGATACGAAGGTGACCTCTTGAATTACTAAAGAAATGTCAGCAATATAGGAATATTGAGGCACTTCTGTTTGGCAGAAGTGTTAAGAGTTAGAAGGGGTGGGGGGGAGCTTCCTTAATGAAGCCCAAACATTCCTAACAAAGCTGCTGCCAACTTGAGAATCAGAATGCTTTTTGCATATTTATAGATCCATTCGCCTTCACCCTATAAAACATTCAGGAGAGATTTCTCCCCCCCCCCAAAAAAAGTCGGGACAAGCCGCTCAATGGCATTAAGAGAAAAGCGCAAGGATCAATTGGCTCAGGGTCCCCCCCCCCCCCGCCTGTCTTTTTCCACTTACACATTTTCATTTAGGACTGTGCTGATTTTGGATTCAAGGTCCTTTTCATTTCCCAGTTCAGCACACAGGCGCCGATGCAACGCCTGAAGACGGAACACGGCCGTGCTGAGCCATTAAAAGGAGGGGAGGGGAGGAGAGGAGGAAAAAAATGGAAGAAAGAAAGGAAGGAAGGAAGGAAGGGGAATAAAATTAGAAATAATGAATTGTTAACAGTCAGCACATAAACAAAGCTGAAACAACCCTACAGCCAAGGGGGTAACGGCGGTTTGTTTTTTTGGAACTTCTGGCAGTTTATAGTAATGGAATGCTTCTCAATTATGCTCTAAAAGGATCTATTCCCTTTTCAGTCTCTTTCAAAACCTCTACACCAGTTGACAGGCAGAACCTCACATAAGAGCTTCTTTATATTCCCTCCCCTGCAGATATCAGAGCCAACTCCTGCCTTTAAAATAGTAATCGTAACTGGCATGACCCAAGCACAGAGAATATGGGTTCTTCACTGTACACAGAGCCCCAGGAAGAAGGCACCCTCCTGGAGACATTAAAATTCACGTCTTAATTTCAGTTTAATTTTAATAGATCCAGCCTAGAACAAAGCAGAAATTGTCCTGACAGTGGGAACAATTCATCAGTGGAATGCCTTCAGAAGTTGTGGGTGCTCCTTCTCTGGAGGTTTTTAAGAAGGGGTTTATCCAGAATGAAGAGAGGGGAAGGAAATGAACCATAGCAATTTCTTTGCGATTAAATTGAACAAGAAAAGGCAGCGGGGGGGGGAACCATTGTTTGTCCCCAGCAGTGGTTCTAACTCTTCTGGGTGGGTTCTTGCCTCTGAGGTAGAAGCAAAGAAAAGCGAGCTGTTTGAAAGCGACTGCATGGATCTAGATTCGCTGGAGAAAAGCCCACTTTTACGCACTAATAACTTGTGGGACAAATAAAAGATGGCATCAGAAATAGACTTGGGTTGTTGTTTTTTCCCTGCACCCAGCAAAAGGTTAACTCCTGTGGCTGGCTGTGGTCTCTGGAGATGTTTTATTTATCAAAGACCTTAATCACCAACTCATTAAATACCTTTAAACAGAAGAAATCAAAGAGGTGGCAGGTAGAGATTTTTCAGCTACCAAACTGAGCCAAATTCAGCCAATTTTACCCCCTTGGAAACATCACGAGAACAAGCTGGCTGAACTACATACGTGTTCCCCTCCTTCTTCTCATTCTCAATGTCTTTCTCCACGTCTTTTTGCTGGCTGGTGAGCAGGTCCAGCCGAGCACGGCAAGTCGCCAACTCTTCTCTGAAAATAGGAGAACAGGATTCAGCCAGAGCAATTGGCACAGTCCATTTCTTTTTAGGCATCTGTGGCATCACATCCTCCCGTGGGTGTAAAGCACCTAAGGGTTCTACGTACTGTGCATGGATTCAGAGGAAAAACTAGCTCAAAGATAGGCCGGGGAAGAAGTACTGCACAAAAGGAAAAGAGAGGAGGAGGGAAAAATAAAAAGTACTAATCTCCCCTTTAGCGGGAACGTTTCTCAGATCACCCTTTCGATCTGCTGGCTCCCAGGCAAAAGAGCATGAGGACTAGTCATCTACATCTAATTTTCATTCACCCAACTAAGGGAGAAATATCAAGATGGAAGCACTTCCACTGAAGTGGGCCGGCTACACGGTCAGTCTAGCTTTGCTTTCTTGAACTTGTCTTCCAGATGTCCTGAACGACACTTCCCATTATCCTGGCCAGCCGGATCATTGGCCATGGTGGCTGGGGATGATGGAGCTTGTGTGTGTGTGATGGATATATCACTTCTTCTGTGAGAGTCCCACTTGCGCGCCGTGCTCCAATGCTGCACCCAGAGATGCCACACTGGTTGTGACACCCTGAAACAGCAAAACATGACTGATGGTTGGTGGCTTAATAACCGTTTCAAGTTATGATGAACTCCCCAAAAAGTTAGTTAGGACCCGTCCTCAAAGTTATGGCTGAAGCAGCATCTCCCACAGTCATGAGATCACATTTTGAGCACTTGGCAACTGGCTTGCATTTATGACCGGTTGCAGCGCTGTGGGATTACACTTTGCAACTTTTTTTTTGCTGTTTTCTGACAAAAAAAAAATGCCCATTAGATTCTTTCCAGAACCACATGGTCTCCTTAAGGACCACAGAAACAGGCTGAACAATTGTCGTATAAACAGCCTTAAAATTCAAATCCGGTCATGTGGTGTCGTGACTTACAACCCCGGCGTGACCGAAATTACGGTCATAAGCCGAAGACTGCCTGTAAATGAATAAATGTGCTGATTTTGATTTGCTGCTTGGTACATCTTTGGATCGCTTGGTAATGAAAGTTTAATTTGGTTATTTCCTTCTGAGCATCCAAAGGGAGCCGAAATAAATCTCTTGAGCTACGCGTGGCAGAAAATGGCAGACGGCGGCGAGGAGACTGACCTCGTTTTTTGAATGAGAAGCTCTTTTTGTTTGGTGAGACTGTCAAGCTGATTCAGGTTTCGGCGCAAGTTGAGGACACGAACCCGATCGGTGTAGTTCATGGTCCGCCCTTGGCTCGGCACGGGGAATCCTTCCGAGCTTTTCCTGTTGGTAAGAAAAGCAGGTCTCAACCTAAAGGAACGCCGCCTTGAGACCGAC